CACTGCTAAATTAGGGACGGCTAGCGCAGATAGCCCTCGTGTAGCTTTGCGCGAAATTCAAAACATCCAACCAACAACAAGCATTTGCCGTTCATTCTACAAAGTTTTATCAACTTTACATTATTTTCTTACCCTTCATAGCGTCCCCTATAGTAGGAACGAAAATTCTATAAAATTCAAAACAACCAACCAACAACAGGCATTTGCCGTCCATTCTACAAAGTTTTATCAACTTTACAATATTTTCTTACCCTTCATAGCGTCCCCTATAGTAGGAACGAAAATTCTATATCTTATATCTACCAGGATATAAAAAGAAGCCGCGAGCTCAACCAAGGTGTTTGGAGAAACACAAGGTGTCGCTGTAAGCCGTTCTGTTTATTTTTCCTTTATTTTGTTACATCAGTACGTATTACATGAACAAACTATTAAGATTAACGTAATTAACTCCATTTATACGAATTGGAGTAAGATTAATAGGAAAAAAAAAAAACTTATCTCCGAATTGTGTATTATGATTTTGTCCCAGTAAACGCAGATGTCGTGAACATGTGATTACACAAACATATATTGTTTGTTTGTTTTGAATTTCGCGCAAAGCTACACGAGGGCTATCTACGCTAGCTGTCCCTAATTTAGCAGTGTAAGACTAGAGAGAAGGCAGCTAGTCATCACCCCCCACCGCCATCTCTTGGGCTACTCTTTTACCAACGAATAGTGGGATTGACCGTCACCTTATAACGCCCCCACGGCTGAAAGGGCGAGTATGTTTGGTGGGACGGGAGATTCGAACCCACGACCCGCAGATTGCGAGTCGAACGCTCTAACCACCTGGCCATGTTGGGTCCACAAACACATATAATTTAGCCTTCATTGTGAGTCTACAAGTTCTCCCCAGTTCACTGTTTTAATTTCGTAGAACTGGATATTTATCGGTTTGATGAAATATGAGCTTATTCTGGTTCATTTAAGACAATTAATTATTTTGCTATTCTTTTTATTTGTAATATTTTGTTCCATTCATGCTTAACACTTTTCTCTAACAATTTTAAATAAATATTTTTATCTCGTTGAACTCAATGTTTGAAGTATAGAATAGAAATCAAAGTTTTTTGTCAGTTTTAGCTATTTTAAAACAATTATTACACAGATTAAAATGCAACACACTGCTTTTATAAAGCGAGAAAAAAGTTGTAGAGACTTTTCAGTATCATAAATTATATTTACTTCTTTCTTCGCCTAATCACTATTAAACACCACGGTTTTCTAACTAATTAAATTCACCCGTAATAGCTTCTAATCACTAGATTTTAGTGACACAGATATTGTCCTAAGGTTACGTTAACTTTGAAATCATTGGTGGGTTCCGTATTTTTTGGTTGTTTGTTTTAGGCGCAAAGCTACACAATGGGCTAAATGCTAAGTCCATTGCTGTGACCCAACCCTGCATTTTAGCGTTATATGCCTTCTTTTTTTTTTGTCTTTTTTTTTGTTTTTAAAAGCAAAGCAAGCCACATTTGTCTACCTGCTGGATCCACCGTGGGGAATTGAACCCCGGAATTAAGCGTTGTAAGTCTGTAAACTATTTATGTATTTAAACACCGTGACATTGTGGGTTACAGTGCCCCTATTAACATATAAATGACATAAAACCTTATACAAAAATATAGTAATTATTGCAATTATTCCCACCGATTACCACAGGGGTTTCATATGTATTTTACACAGAAAATTAGGGATTTAACCTTTCTTATGTGAATTATTTACACTGAGTGTTGGTACAGGAAACATACATAAAATTATTCGGTATGATACACTATGTAGTAAACTGTGTATAAACATGTCGGTAATTTGGGGGTTGAAGATCGAACAACAAAAAACATCTGTCAGTTTGTACCAGTGCATTGTCATTTTCCAGTCTTTTGTGAACCAGGGAGCGTTCTAATAAATCTTTCACATTATAAAAATAATAATGTATTGAACTTCAAAAATATCTCTTATTGTATCAAGTTATGTAATAATAACACGAAAGTGTTTAGTTACAGAAAATTCAAGCTCAAATAGTGAAAGATAATATTAGAAAAATAATTTTGAATTTTCCTTATATATGAGGCCGAGCGTGCCCCAATGGTTAGCGTGCTGAACAATAAATCTGCGGTTCAATCGTTCGC